TGATTCACCATAGCAAAAACCAAGATTTGTTTTACGAAAGAGATAGAAAACATTATGTTTATATATTCAAGTCCCATAATCCTTTTGATGGACTGGGGACCAAATGGAAAGACATTGGAAATGTAGGCTCCAAGGAAGCCGAACAGCTGTCGTGGAAACTTGGCTTTTTTTATCAGTAATTAGGCCTTAATAAGGCACCAGGCATTCTGCCCAGCCGAGTCTGCGTGCTAGCCATTCCAGGCCAGCTTCCACAGAGGCAGCCAAATTGAGGAAGACTCTATTCTCCTCCCTGCTGGAGGTGATGACCTTCTGAAATGACAACTCCGAACTAGCGATAAGAATGAAAACTATTTGCAGAAGGTTGTCCGTAAAGGCTCGAAAAATAAAGGCCAATCCATGGTAGCCGTTGGAAAACAGCTCCAGACCCTCAAAAACCACCTCAAATGATAGTAGACAAGCATAACCGGCAATCATAACTATGAGGGAATACGTCTGAGTCTTGAGAAAAGACAGCCGACCTGTCGGGCTGACAACATTGGTACCTATGCGATAGGCATATATCAGGGTCAGTAATCTGCAGGCTACCCCGAAGGGGATTGTCAAGGCGAACTCTAACATCTTGACTAGAATAAATCTGGTCCAAGCTTTCGAGTCTACAACCTGCTGCACAATGTATGTTCCTCCAAACGGGCCTCTACACACGGAGAAGCGTTTGTTGTCGCTGGAGAGGAAACACAATGGTGCCATGACAACGGCATAACTTCCGAAAATCGCATAACTGCATGAAACCATCAATGCTGGGGTCTCGAGAAGCTTGCAGAAGCGGACCAGAATGTACTCAGAGAATGGGATGCAGGCAAAAAGAAAGCCGCGCAGCAGACGAGTGTACTGGCTTACAACTTCTACATTATTGTACAGATTGGCGAGAAGATAATAATTTGTACCACTATTAAGGGAAAATGTAGTCACGTGCAGATCTAGAGTTAGCGGCAGGATGCCTGCACATATGTTGAGCAGGCAGACAGAGAAGAACAGCCCCAGATTGGCTATGACGAAGCCGGTACCGACGTTTGCGCCTTGCAGCCGCATTAGTGAGTAGTTAAGCAGTAGTGTCAGCACAATTGAGGAAGCCGTCGTCAGTACAATGGTGACATAAAGTGTCCAATAAACCGCTGTTCTGGCTGACGAAGTTTTGCAGACAACGTCTTGGATGGTTAACAGCGTAAGATTCAGATTAGACTCCATTCTTCTAAACAGCCGACTCACGACTCGAATCGATTCACAGTTCAAACAACTCGCTCTTAAAGTGAGCTTGCCTTGAGTTCAGTTAACTAAATGCGTTGCGAGCACTCAAGCTTCTCGATTTCTGTGCTAGTAATTAACTTGTTTTGTGGCTGTCAAAACCATTTTCGACTGCTTGCGTCTACGACTGCAACCACATCTCACCTCATCAGCAGCCGTAGTCGGAGTTCAACCGATCTTTCACACTCAGACATGAATATGCTGCGTCTCCACCCCCCTGATCATTGTTCCAATTTGTTTGTTACTCGACAAGGAGGACCCGCCAAAGCAAGCCTATCACAATTGAGTTCCGTCCATAAAAGCTGTCTAATCTGGTAAGTCTTAATTTGCAAAACAAAACTGCAACTAATGCCTCAATCAGTAGCATCTCAAGTTTACTTGTAAAAGCATGGGTAAGACCTAGGCGAGGTTGAAACTGCTGTCTATCCTTGAGAAGAATAACTTTTGGAAAGAAGGGCCATGCGAAATTTTATGAAAGTGAGGTGCGTGTTCATTTCATTGTGGGAAACTTCATCTACCAGCCCTTAATCACTCTAACCATAATAAGGTGAATCGACTGGTAGTCTCTAACGTCTTATTAGAAGCTAGATACATAGTACGAATTGCCTGAATGTCGTGCTTCTTGGGACAAATGAAACTCTATGATTAGATTTCAAAACTTTCTGTTGATTCTGAATACAAAGTTGAGTAATTGTTTGAGGTGGTGTAAGAAATGCCAGAGGAATTTCTCATTCAGTGATGAGTAAATGTCCACAAGATGCCAATTAATTTGGCTTAACCCTGCC